ATTAAATTACTTTTTGTTCATGTTATACTAATTAATATGGCATAAACACTTAGCTAATAATCCATATTTTAATAGTATATAAATTTTAAATTTTATAAGGAAATATAAAAAAAAATTCTGAACTTCCTCTAGTGTTACACACGCAATACATTTTCTCTTTTCTATTTTATCCATCACTCCTCCAAAATGTACGATATTAAACGTAAATTGCTCCCTATAATATTGTCATTGCTCAGACAAATCATAATCTTTATAGCCTTCAATTCTCTTTGGTTACAGAGCTATGAAATAGAAAATCACACCCCTCCTGCCACACCTATCTGTCACATCCTCTCTTTCAGGCTTTGATAATTGTTCTCTCTTATGTTTAATTATACATTACCCATCACCAATAGAAAGTCAAGGTTTTCATCTATCAAATCACGTATTGTATAACATTGTGTTCTGAACAGATAAGCGTAAATTTCACACAGAGTACAAGCTTCATTCCCATAGAAAAAATTAACGACTAGCTTGGATGAATTTGTAACGGCTCTTGTCGCATAGTTAGAAAGCCAGAAAAATTTTGAGAGTTAGGGGTGATTGCTTATATTTTTCATTCAGTTGATTCAACCTAAATCTTGACTCCAAATTGACCTTTAGTTTCCATACTATAACTTTTAATATGTTTTGTGTATCTTTAAAGTTCTTTATCCCGTAGTTCCCAATATTTGTTCAATTGAGGACCAACTAGCTCCAATTCCTAATTTTCATGGACCACTTCTTACAATCTTAACTTTTTAAAGTACTTTTACCTTACACCTTGAAACAATATACTTCAGTAGCTATACTTTACAGACCAGTTGACATCACTGCTCTAACCCAAATTATTTTAATCTCACATCTAGACAAACATAAAATCTTGAACATGATTATGCTTATAACTACATAAATAAACCCAATTAACTTACCACAAAGTCCTCCTTCATCTGATCCATCAGAACAATCAGCTACTTTGTTGCAAAACTGTGAAGGTTCAAGGCATAAGGTACTATTATCACAAGTTCGGTTTGGAGGCAAGCAACTTGGTTCTGTAATTTCTGTAGTGAAAAGTAAGGAACCACATTATTATTAATTACTTAAATATTTTCATGCAAAATATTACATGAAAGTAATTCTAGATAAAATTCTACAAAAAATTTAAACTTTCAATCATGAAATAAAACAGTCCCTAAATATGTTAAGATAAACTGGAAAACATATCAGCAAACCAATTTTTTAACAAGAACACTTAAATTTAAATATACATGCCCATAACCTTCAGTATGTTCATTACATTTTTAAATTTACTACAGTTATCTAATAATTCATCAGATTCATCACTGTATCATGCAGTACTGTATTTTCAAACTTACCAGTTATCTGAACCACAGCTGTATCATACATTACTGTATTTTTTACCATAATTATCTGATTTTTCATCAAAACCACCACTGTATCAAGTTTTTCAATACTTTCAGAATTAACACAATTTAATATTTTATTATTCATTAGAACCACTACACTATCTAGCATCGTGTACTCTCAAATATGCCAGTTATCTAATCATTTATCAGAACCACCAGTATAAAAAGCATTATTGGATTCTCAGACTTAACAAAGTTATCATTCAACAAAACCTTCTGTGGATCATGAATTACAGCATTCTCAGAATGACTGAAGTCATCTGATTATTCATTAAATTCTTCTGTGTATCAAGGGTTATGAATTGTTTTACTTACCACATTCATCTGGTGATTCATCAGAACCATCACTGCAGTCTTTATTCCCATCACAGAAGAACAATACTGGAATGCATTCCTTTCCATTGTCACACATCTTATCTGTAGAACTACAGGTTGTGTTTACTAAATAAACAAACATAACCAGTTAGATCTTAGAAATAAATTGTATATTGACAACAAAAAAAATATATCTTAAACAGAAATCAGATACAAACAATTTAACCTTATTGCTAACAACAAATCAGGCTTAATCTAGACACACACATAACACATCATGAGCACCTCATCAACTAAACTGATCAGTCTGATGATCGACATATTAAAATCTAGACAGTCATAGCACACCTGATTAGTCTGATAAATTAAAAAAATATGAGTTACAATGGAGGTGTAACATAGTACAGTACAGTAAGCTAGTATGATAAAAAACAAACTGGACCACATAATGTATGTAACAGTACGAAAATAGAATGCAACTGAATTCTGACACCGATGTAACAAGCCAGATACCAGCATTCAGTACGTGTTGACAATTTAAACTGTACTCAGGCACAAATAGAACATACCTAATCAGGAAGTCAGCTACTCTTTTAATATTCTAAGCTGGAATTAAGCACAAATCATTAAAACCCAAATCCAAGCATTCCGTCAATCTCATAATAACTAAAACAGAATCATAAAAAAACAAGAATAAACCGAATACCACCTTTCAGCTATTCTGTTAACAATTGAAAATGGATTCTGAAAAAAACATTTCAGACTAGGTAAACACATTCTGACAGATAGTATATTCAGCTATTATATTAACATTTAAAACTAAACATAGACATAAGTATAACTTATAGTCCTCAACTTAGTCATATTGTCACTAAAGTTTGATCTATAGTCACTGCAACAGAAAAGAGAAAGATAGGAGTTTTAAATCAAATGTTCATTATAAAGAACTTACCACAGTCTTTCTCGTCACTTCCATCTACACAGTCATTTTTACCATCACATTCCCAAACTGCTTGGACACACTCTCCATTGCTACACTGAAATTCACTCTCTTCACATGGATGAGAAATGGCAGGTATTGCTATCACAAGAACAATGAACACCAATGTACTAAAACTTGTTACAAGTTTTAGATTGAAATGGTAATAATAACAACTAACAGATATAAAATATAATATACAAGTACAATGGATATTCAACAAAGGTTTTCAATATACTAAGTTTAAATCATCATAGAGTCAAATAGGGCATTCTGTAAAAACCACAACTTTTAAGGGTGAGAGAGAAACAAAAAATAAATTACCTGGGATATAATTCAACATTTATTAATAAAACAGTTCAATCATGAAATATTTCCCATAATTATAAGCCTTGAGTGTAGGCCTCAAGATAACTTGATTTTATTACTAACATATGTACACATAGTTGCATTTGCATTTTTGTGGTTGATGTTGCTCTCAAGTAGTAACCAAGTAAGTTTCCACACAACAGGTTATTTGTTTCATTATAAGAAAAACAGTAAAATACTGAGTAAGGCTATATATATGTGTGTGTGTGTGTGTGTGTGTGTGTGTGTATATACACAAGAATTTACTTCATTAACAAATACAGAGGATATTGATTTTTAAGTTACAAAGTGGCATTAATACAAAGTTATTTGATTATCTAAGGAATGAGGAAAATGACACAAGTGATGATACTGTTAAGCTATCACAATAAAGGTCTTATAAAATTTAAATAATCATTTTTTAAAACACCAATTTTAATAATGGAAGAAAATTAAATTTTAACTGTCCAAATTACTTACTTTTTTTCATACTATGTACTATTAATGTTGACCACATATTACATCATATACAGTAATCTTATATTTTTACCTGTTACAACATGTGTAAAGAAATGACCAAAAACACTAGGTGAATCACTCATTTCCCATGTGAAGTACATAAGAAAGCTCAACAATAATTTGAAGTATTAACTGCAAAATTAATGGTATTTTTGTTTACTTTTGTGTGACTCGTGCGTTATTAGGGATACTGTAAACAACAGTCATGGACACACAATCAATTTGAGGAATAAATAGTTTAGAAAAAACAAGTGTTTCAAAAACAGGTAGGGTAATTCTAGGGTTAACTGAAATAAATTACCAATACAACTACTCATTTAAACTGTATATTTTATGAAATTTAAAAAGTAATACACACAAATTTGTACAACTGACTAAGTTTAATAAAAATAAGCTTTTTTCATTAATATTAATTCAGTCCTAAATCCATATACTAAGTTAACAATGCAAAATAATCTTCATAATAACAATAAAATAATACAAATAGATGAATTAAACATTCTAACCAATATTGCCAATGAAAGTAACATTAAAAACAAACATCTTACACAATAAATGTGCCAATGTTCTTCACTTATACTACACAACCATATGACGGTTTATTTATTTATCTATTACACCCTCACTTTCCACAATAAAGCTACAGATATTTAAGCACCCGATTTAAAAAATTTTTTAATACAAAATATTAGCAAACTTAATTTTAATGAAATTTTAAATTAAATACGTCTTAATCAAAACACTCTACAAGTCGTAATTACCACTAGTCATAAAGCAGCACCAAGTGCTACTGGGCCTACAAAGAGATAATGCACAATGTAACAGCATTTCATCAACAACCGAATCTAATTAGGTGTAAACTTTATCTAAAAACACATGAAATGGCAAACAATTATGGAGAAATGAGCATAAAGAGCTGAAGGAAGCTCTGCATGAATGGAATGCAAAGCTTACAGGAAGAAAAAGAGAAATTGTTGAAAGATAAACATCAAAATAGTTGGAAGTTAAACAATAATTGGGGTTTGGGGACTCACTGTCACTCAGGACAGTTTCAATAAATTACGATCACTGTTAAGTGACTTTTTTCTCAATTTACAATCTGATGACTCTATTTTAGCAGTTTTGGAAAAAAATAAAAGTACATGTTTTATATTTTTTGCTCACCATTATTTTGCACAAAACAATTTGATCTAGTTATCTTTGAAAAATTGTACAATAATTGTGCTTTATAATTCATCAAAACATCAGATGAACAATTCCTAGTCCCTACTCTTCAAATCTTGTACTGTAGTGCTACAAAAGTAGTTTTTAGGACATGTAATATTAATATTTTAGAACTTGATTGTCACACAAATGTGTCTGAATACACATTATAATTTAAAGATCAAGATTATTTAGGAAATTATGTTACTGAGCAGATAAAAAGTTATTTATTCATTTGTAAAATCGGAAAGTTGTCATAATTTCCTTAAAAAATATGATTCATGATAATATTATAATTCCATAATTATTCTATAAATTATGTACATTTAAAACCTGATGGTGTTGTAAATAACAACAAAAAACAAATAAACAAACTACTAAACACATACTTTGCCATTTTATCAGAGTGATAAATAGAAATCTATATAAATAAACAAAATCATGTTTTTTTTGTTTTTTTTTAATACAAACCTGTCTAATATTGCAATCTGGTGGAAAGAAATGATTCTTGCACACAATACTACTGGGTGATGGCCACCATAGCTTTCAATCATCATTTACACGATGGACAACAATCACCCATGTTTTGCACTTTTCTTTTTTGTAAATTTATGTCCACCACAATGATTACAACCTGGCACACTACAACAGGTTTGTGGTATTTTATGAGTGTTCTAGATCAAATTTTTAAGAGATCTTCTATGTTGGGTAACTTGGCTCTACTTGTTTACAACAAAAATACATGCTCAATCTAACAAACTCATGCCAAAACAGGTGCCAATTTTTAGGCCCGGTAGGTGCTGATGCCTAATGAATAATGTTATTATGACATCATTTTTCTAAACTCCCTTATTGGTATTTACATATGCACTCAAGAACTAAAATACTTAGCATTTATTCTATCTTATGGAAACTTACTAATCAAGATTCTTCACATTTATTCTATCTTATGGAAACTTACTAATCAAGATTCTTAACATTTATTCTATCTTATGAAAACTTACTAATCAAGATTCTTCACATTTATTCTATCTTATGGAAACTTACTAATCAAGATTCTTCACATTTATTCTATCTTATGGAAACTTACTAATCACGATTCTTTACATTTATTCTATCTTATGGAAACTTACTAATCAAGATTCTTAACATTTATTCTATCTTATGGAAACTTACTAATCACGATTCTTTACATTTATTCTATCTTATGGAAACTTACTAATCATGATTCTTAACATTTTCTCTATCTTATGGAACTTACTAATCAAGATTCTAAACATTTATTCTATCTTATGGAAACTTACTAATCACGATTCTTTACATTTATTCTATCTTATGGAAACTTACTAATCAAGATTCTTAACATTTTCTCTATCTTATGGAAACTTACTAATCAAGATTCTTAACAATTATTCTATCTTATGGAAACTTACTAATCAAGATTCTAAACATTTACTCTACCTTCTATAGATTTGATCAGTATTTTGATGAAGTGTAACCATTATTTACAACACAGTACTGCAGTTTGCAGTGAATGGAGAAAGTGAAAAACCCATTGCTGTATGCAGTGACTATAACTGTTATTACTACTTCTATTAATTATTATTTCATTCAATACACAACAGTGTTACATGTTTTTTCCTTGTTATTACTTTTATATTTCAAGCTGACAGTAGTTGCTTGAAATGTCTTTACAAAACTAAGTATTTTGGCATATGTATATTAACTTATTTGGTTTTCTTGCTTTTATAAAAAGCGAATGAACAGGAGAAAACAAGTTAAATGTTGTAGTATATAGCAACAGAGCAATATTTTTGTTTTACATATAATCAGAAAATGACCTAACTATTTAAGAAGCTAATGAAAGAAGTAAAAAAATCCCTAAACCAACTTACGGCAGTCATCTTCATCAGACCCATCAACACAGTCATAGATACCATCACACCGCAAGTTTATGTTGAGACACTGACCACTCGTAACACACTGAAAACTGGAAGTACTGTTACAGCTTTCATCACAGTTACGCTCATCGGAGGTGTCTCCACAGTCATCATCACCATCACATATGTAGAAACGAGGAATACAACGGTTGTTGTCACAGTGAAACTCAGTCTCTTGGCATGCTGGATAATCTAGAAATTTATGATAACCAAACACTGCACCTTTTATTAAACTGACTACATTATATACTAAACTACACTTGACATGAATGTGTCTGTGTAGATATATAATAATGATATATGTTTTATTTTAAAAAGAGATTGCAAGTAGAGTACATAATTTAGTAACACATTATACCCTTTTAAAACTTATTATGTTATATATTAACCCTCTCTGCACAGGCATCCTTTACTGTGCATGTCACGAAGTTTTCAGTGACTTACATTCAAAATTTAATTAAACTACTTTTTGTTTATGTTATACCAATTAGTACAGCATAAAATTGCAGATAATAACTCATATTTTAATAGTATTATGAGTTTTAAGTTCTTAATTTCATAAAGCATTATTTAAAAAAAAAATTTGAATTTCCCCTAGCATGAGCAATGTGACCTATTTTCTCTTGGCATCCTATCTTCTCTATTTTATTCACCACCCCTCCAACAAGTATGAAATTTAATGTAAATTACTCACTATAATATCGTCATTGTTCATACAAAGCAGTCTTCAATCTTGTTTGGTTACAGAGTCATCAAATAGAAAATCAGACCCATTTTGTTGCACCCGCCTGCCACATCCTCTCTTTCAAGATTTGTTAATAGTTCTCTCTTATGTTTAATACTATATTATTTATAACCAAAAGAAAGCCAAGGTTTTAATCTATCAAATGGCATATTATATTACATTGTTTTCTGTAAAGAGAATAGTCAACTTCCCTTTTAGTACAAACTTTGTTCCCAAGGGAACATATTGCCTAGCTTAGATATATTTGTAATGGCGCCTGTTGCAGTTAGATTGCCAGAAAAATTGTGATAGTTATGGGACATTGTCTGCTTTTTGCATGTTATCATTCTATATTGTGCATTATTTAATTAAATAAAAATTATTAAGTGCACTACTAACATTAGTATAAAAAAAGTAGGGTTAAGTGTCCTTGACAGTCGACAGCAAAAAAATAAGGCCCAGGTAAGTACTTTATTTCTTGTTTTCCAAATGTATTCTTTATTTATTATTATAAAAGTAAAAATAGGAAAATCTTTAGGTTAGTTTTAGGTAGAATAAATAATAATATTTTCACACACACACATGCAAGCAGCTTGGAGTAGTGTGTGGGTAAAGTAATTCAATAGCTAACATGAGTCGCACATTTCCCAAGTGATTTACAACTTATAATGGCATGAATAGTCATCAGACATGGTTTAAAGGTCAATAAAACAATAAAATTTAAGTATAAATAGATATATACTGTTAGGAGTTTAAAGCTACTTAGGATAAATTGACCAACCTTTTATAAAGTTAGGGTATAGAAAATAACAGATAAAATATAAAGTTTTACAGAAACAAAAATCTACTTAGGAGGTTTTAGAGATTACGCAAAGAAAATTTGAGATGAAGAGAAGCACTTTTAATCTTAATATGAAAATCATTTTGTACTCGGACTAGTCAAAAAAGACTTGATATATTCATGGACAAATCTTTTTTTAGTTTATTAAATATACTTCACTAAAAAATCTGCTGTTTTGAATGTAAAAGATTTGTAATATTTACTAAAGGCCTGCCAAATTTTGTGAAGATACACATATTGTATTAAAAGTTAGTAATATCAAAACTATGACAAGTACAAAGTAGTCACGTGGTCAGTCAATTCAACCAAGCCCGTGCAGAGAGAGATAAATAAAACTTTTAACCAATAAGCATGTACAGATATATAACAACAATACATCTTTTTTTTAAACTAGACAGTATGTATTTTATGCAATGACATTCAACATTTTAACTCTTTATGCTCACAATTGTTGCTTAACATGTCAGTCTCCTCCATTAGAGTAACACCTAATTATCTTTACTTACCACAATTTTCATGCTCATCAGATGTATCTCCTTCATCACAATCATATTCAATATCACAAACCCAGTTTATTGGAATACATTTTCCACTGACCTTACACGAAAATTGATGAGGGCCACACGTACTGTCTAAATACCAAAACAAAAATAGAAGTAGGTTTATCACAATACGTTGTGCTTCATAAATACACAGTAACAGTTTATTTAGTAATAAGCAAATGTCATCAAAGTAAGATTATTGTACATAGTGTCTAAAAATACAGTAAAAAGGGGCTTAAGGGTTTGTGGAGAATTTTTGTAACAGTAAGCATAGCTACAGGTTTAAAAATAAATAAATTGACGAAGGTGTTGTTTTAAAAAAATTCAGAGTAAAAGTAAATCGGGACTAGACATTCTCTACAAATAATAATGTGCAAGTTAGCTTAGCTCGTGGTGTTAGCCAAAAATATGATAAGCTTTATTAAATATCTAAGTAAAAACAAGTTTAACTGTATAACTTAAAAATGAATCTAATTGCAGATAGTTCTCAACAACACACTACAGAAAATTATGTGGTATCATCAAAAACATAAATTTAGCTGCAGTTATTGCCTCTTTCCAAATTTAAATAGACAGTAGTTTGAAGATGATTTATTGACTTAAATGAAATATGCTTCTGTAATTATATAAAGCTACTTACTTTTGCATTTATAAAGGGGCTCCTCATCAGTACCATCAGTACAATCTATTTCACCATCACAGACCCAGTAAATAGAAATACATCGAAGGATATCACATTGAAACTGGTTTGGCTGACATGTAACCTTTTCTAAAAGAACAGACAAAACAATAGTGTTGCTAACAAAACAAACACAAAAATCTTGGATATCTCAAAAACACATTATAGATATAAAAATATCAAAAGATCCTGAATGATCCACATTTATACACTCATTTCTCTAAGATTCCGATCCTTATGGACATAAAGCCTTTTCTTTCCAGTTTAATCTTCTCTCATTAGGCAAGATTCATCTTTTGACACTCAGCAATATTTTACATCTTCTCATTATTCATTATTATATTTTTTATTACACAAGGAAATTTTTTTTGTATCAAGAGTAGTTTTAAAAATTCAAACTTCTATTTCATTAGAGGAAAAGTATTTTTTGCATACAAGCTTTCCTCACTCATTGATCATAGATATGTTCCAACAATTCCTTTTTTTTTGTCAGAAATGTTTTCTAGCTCATGAATTTTTCATTCTCACTGATAGAGTATGTTTCATGCAGACAGGTTTAACCTTCTCATTTATCAAGAGTATACTCCAACATTAAAGCTTTCCGTTATTTCTTTTTTATAAAAATAATTATCTTATTTCTTTCCTAGTTGGTCAGAGTATAATTCAGCTCATAGGTTTTTAGATATTTGGGTTAAAAGTATTTACAAAACACACACACAAACATTCCTTTCATATTGGCCAAGAGTATTTGTTAATAACCAAGTTTTCCTTTCTCAATACAAAATAACAGACAATTCTCAGTTAGCTGGAATTGAATAAGAAAAGGGTTTTATCAAGATTTTCTTTTAATTCATTCTATCAAAAGACATAATAGAAAAACAATACATAAATGTTCTGAGCAAATTTTATAAATTGCCAAAAAAATCTGGCAAATCAGATTTTCTTAATAAAGTTTAAAAAAATCATAAAAAATGAAGATTAGTTTTTATTCATATTAACACAGAACAAAAAAACACTACCATATGGTACAAAATGTACCCAAGACCCAACTTAAGATTAGGCCAAGGTCTCAGGAAAAACAGTTCTTACCTTTAATATAAACTCACAGTATAGTATAAGCAAGTAAATACTGAAAACAGTAGTACAATTAATTCAGTGATGCAGACTGTTACCAAATGAAACTTTATATGACTAAAGGTGAGAAATGGTTTGGTGCAATACTATTATATACTCATCCCTTAACAGTTTTTTTTATACTTAGAGAGTTTAAAGCTATTCAGCTTTTCTAGCTAGGACAAGCACTAACATTGCTTAGAATTTTAGTTCTCAGGTGGTCACAGTATGGGTCTGATTAATTGGAGTATGTTTTTTTGTACAACAACTTACCCTACAGAGAGTTGAAAAAAACAACAGAATATTAATGTAGGCATACATCTTAAACCTATAATCAACATATATGTTGATTGTAACATACTTATTTTATTAGTAAACTTGTGTGTGTGTGTGTTATATATATATATATATATATATATACACACACATAGAAGTAAATTATTTGACTCACATTAGCTAGATAAAACTTCAAATCTTTGCAGTGTAGTAGGATTGTAATCTTTACTGTACAATAGCAAGGGGATGTGCTTATATTGGCAGTGAAATTTATCAAAAAAATTGATGATTTATTCAGCTAATTTGAACACACTCGGAATCTTTAAATAAATGAAACTTTTAAATAATTTTCCTTTTAATGGAGAAAAAAAATCAACAAAATATATGGCTAACTAAAACAATATTATGCTCAAGCCCACAAATTTAGAACATACAAAACATTTTTAAGTTATAAAATTATTTCTTACCACAGATGCCACCTACTGAGGAATCTTCATCTGAATTATCACCACAATCATTATCTCCATCACAAAGATAATGTCTGTCTATACAACGAAGGTTTTTGAGACATTCAAATTCTCCTTCATCACAGCGAGAAGGTTTGGTGTAGTTTATGGACTCTACAAATTAATACAAGACTTTTATTCACATCAACATAAAAGTGACGATTGATTTTTCATAAACTCATTTTGGAAGTAAAAAAACAAAAAATCCAATGTTAAAAATATGGATAAAATTTTATTGATAAAACCTGAAGAACAATTTCAAAAAGTTAAAAGTAACTTATCACAATAATGGAGCATTGGTACAGCTATCTATCTATTTGTGTGAACAAAATAATAAATACAATAGTGCCATCTGTTGTGCTGAAATACAACAAGATTTCAATGCCAGAAGTGGTGATTGAGACTTATGAAATGTTGCATCATCTAATCGATGGCACCACAAACAAAAATCCATTAAAAAATCATACTTTGGGTACTCAACACTTAGACAATTAGAAAAATACTTTTTTATAGAAAATGTTCATTTTTTTACAATGAGATATGAATACTATAATTACTAATTACTAGCATAAAAAGCTGCTCATATCTTGGCCTAAACAGACTCAGGGAAGATAAATTGTTGACATTACCCATTTCACCACAGAAGTGAGGAGGTTATCATACCACTTGTTCAGCTGCCCAAAAAACAGTTGTTTTTTTTATTGCTGAGGACTAGAGAGTATTTTGGTATTCAAAAGTGTATGTTGCTGAAATATGAAAATTCAAACAGGTAATACACAACAATAAGCGCATCATGATTTTGGGGGTTTCACTGCCACAGGTGCTGGACATTCACAATTAGAAGTGTGAAGAAAAAGCTGATAAAGTAAATATTAAGTATGTATAATAGTGTGCATATGTTTCATTAGCATTTGATAAAGTTTCTTTCCCAGGAAAAGTTTCTTTATATTTTCAAACTAACAGAAATTATGCTACGAAAATTTATAGCTTTTTATATATCTATAACTTAAACAGTGTAATGTCTATGCTCCTCTGATAAAGTTGGTTTCACAATGTGAGCTTGTATTTTTACCCTTGTGAATTACAATGAATGTTTTAATATGTATACTGTGCTTTCAAATGTTATTTTTTTGATATTATAGTTTTTACTATAAGTATATCAAGTAAACCAAAATCATTTAATTTTTCTGGTTTAGGGGTGGGATGTACTGCTCTTTAAGTAGCAAGTTGTGAAAAATGACAACTTGCTATAGAAGATGGCTGGACACGAATGGAGTTCCATATATATCACTATAGTTGTTGATGGAGGATGGGATAACAGAAGTTAGGGGTACAGATACATTGCAACTTCTGGAGTAGCAGTTATTATTGGTCAAAGGACAAATAAACAACTTATTTTTGGGCATAAGAAATGGCAAAGGAAAATGTAGAAAATAGCAAAAACAACATACTGATATTAAACGAAATATGTTTGTGGAGCTACTCAGCAAAGCATAAAACAGTAATTCTGTGGAAAAACTGAAAGAACACTTAAACAATGCATCCTACTGTACAATATTAGCTTGACCAATTGCTAAAAAAGATTCATAACAACATAGGAATTCTAATTGGAAGAATGATTTAAATGTATTCCACATGGGAGATTCCTACTGCAAAAGAGAAAGAACTATGCATAAGCTTCATCTTTATAGTGGACCATATACCATAAGGGCAGCATAACATATTCATCCATTGCTGCCATCTAGTGGTGTAACTGAATAATAGTTAATTCTAAAGAAAAAACCTTAAAGATGTTCAACTCAGGTTCATCTAGAATAAAATTACAAAGTTCTTTTACTTGTTTTGTTTGTTAAAAGAAAAATTATCTGAAACCCATAAAATCCTTAAGGGAATTTTAAAAAAATGGGATACCTTTACAGGACTTCATATCACTTGATAACACAAAGCCATCTCTACAAGCACACACTGGAGATTTGGGGGTTACCAGGCACAAGTCTTCACAACCTCTTTTGTTGTCTGAACATTCATTCTTTCCTACAAAGATGAGCAATACATTTACTAATAACATCTTAACTTCTGTTTTGTAGCCATTATTTTCCCAGTATGATATAAGTATGAAATACTCTAATTGTTTATTTTAAAACTATCCTTCTATTATTATTCACTTACAAACACTGAATTAAAAATATCAAATCAAATATAGAACAATTCTAATTTTAATTTTTTAATACTGAATACTGCTTGAGATATTGATACATAACTTTTTAAAATATTTATTTGACCAAAAGATGTTTCAAAAACAATTCTTGAACTGAAAGCATTCTCATTATATTTTGTATCTTGTATTTTCAATTAATTATATTTTGACTGGTTCTATTTCCCAGTGCATAACTACTAGAATTACCAACAATTTAGTACCGAAAAATAGTATAAGTACTATAATGATACATATAGAAATTTCTTGTAAATTTAGCAGAATTTTCTAATCATACAAAAAATTTACATCTTACTCATCAATTAAGCAGCCTGTTGTGGCACATGTGCTAACTTTCAAAATCACATCTGCACTAAGTGTATGTAATTACTACTACAAAAAATGCATAATAAATCTTTTCACACATTTATAAGCAAAATGCCTAAGACAAAACAAAGTATTGGAAATCTGAATAATAAGCTTCAAAGCATCATGCAAGTTTTTCTCATATCTATAATTTTCATTATACTGCTACCACAGATCTTTTCATTCATTTATCTTTAAAATTTCAGTTTTTCTTTTACTTGACAACTACAATAAACTGTACTTTTCAAAAAATAGTTGAGAATATTTCTTGCAATGTGATGTGGTGTGTCCTTATTGTACTAAATCAACTCAAAACAAACATAAGAGGGAATTTTTCTATCATTTGCACCTTTAATTCCAAATGAAAAAAATTATGCAGCATTTAGTGATGGTGTGGCAGTTATTTCCAACCATAAAGACTCCTACTGCAAATTACATATTTTCCACTCTATGTTATGTTTTTTTTATATAACATCAGATGATATCAAAAAAAAAATAATTACTTTATAAACATCTCTACAGCAATCTAATTAATATACACAACATTTTATAAAACTTTTAATAACTTTGATTATTACTCATTAACACACCAAAGACATTAAACCAAAAATAAATATAATTCATAAGCTAAAGTTAATTATTAAGGTCAGATATATTTCAATAATACTTAAAATTTTTTTTATAAGCCACTAATGGTAGCAAATAAAATACATGGACATATATTTCGATTGTTTTGCATTACTTAATAATTCTAATAGAACAGTTCAAAAGTTATTTATTAACTCATGTTCTATAAATAAAGGTACATCCACAACTGTCCTATTTGTTACATTTTTTCAACTGCTAGTCAATGTACAGGATGTAAAGGGTTTTATAAATGCAGTTTTATTACATAATCATCAACACAACTCAGATGTAGTACTTAAGGAATAAGAGGTTTTCAACTTACCAATCTGAGTGTCATTATCATAAAGAACCAATTCAAACAATGGGATATTCTCCGTGGCTAACGTAATAATTGTCTTATTTTTCAGGTCTAACCTCAGTATGAGTCCTCTGTGAAATTCTGTCCAATAAATAAAGTCACCCTGGCGAGCAATTCCGTAAGGTCGATCCACACCATCCCCTTCATATAGTTTCTAGAATTAGGCATAAAATGATTCACTTAATGTGAAGAAAAATTTCTTCATAAAATGTTATTAACCAAAAAAAAAACCCACAGCAATGGCAATTTAGAATTAACATATTAGTTTCAATATTTATACAATGATGTATAGCTGAATTATTCAATCAATAAAGTACAGCAACAAAAAAATAGTGTATGTGTTTTTACTTTTAACACTAAATATAATATTCAATGCATAACTATAAACTAAGTGTTCTTGCAGTAGCAAGCTAGCTTGAAACTAACATGAAACAAGTTAGCAATCATAAGATAAAACTGGAAGCAACATTCTAAAATGGCAAAATTGATTGATTCTTAATTTTCAAAGTTATCTCTTCATATTCCTCTAATCATTAGTAATGAATGCAAATGCAGAACATCAACAGATACAGTCAAATCATAAAATACAATATTTTCTCTCGACTGTCTTGAAATTATATATAAAGACAGAAAGAAAGAAAAAATATTGGAACTCCATATATCTAAATTACTTAGAGAAGCAAGATGAAGCTGGCCAGCTTATTACAAAAATTAATCCATTGTAAAGCTTAATGGAAGATCAAAGACCACATAAAAGAAGATACTACATTTGTTATTTAGTTTAATACATTTTTCTGTAGCATTATTCATTAAATTATATTGTTATAATATAGTGTTGATACAATTTTTGTTTTTTTGCAACAACATTGACTACATACAACTGTAGAAAATGCCAAAAACTTTTCTCACAGCATTATTTTTCATTGCATTATTTAAAAACATCATAAAACCCTGCAAAAACACAGCAACTATCCTTATAATTTATATAGTTTATATATATATCAAATTACCCATATCATGCATAAATGAAGGTACTTTTGTTTTGTTAAGATATGAGACTGTAGCAACGATGTGTGAAAAATTATCTACGAGTCTCTGAAACAGGATATAATTGTACTAAATTAAAACTATAATAATAATAATAATTATGCATGAAGCGAAACAGATGGAGCCTCTAAGCGTTTCCATTACTGGTGTCATCCGATGCTTAATAAAACAATCATCATGTGATGGAAAAAAAACAACTGCATAACCATTACTTACCTTAACTAATATTACATATATTTACCTTAGTATTCTTTGGTCATGCAGTATACTTTCAAATACTAACAAACAACCTATAATATGTAATGATCTTGTATCTCTTACCATGAATTTTGCAAAATGTTTTTATTCAAAAATTCCTACCTCTTTTTTTAACCCATCTAAACTGATTCTTTCAATGGTATGAAAAAATGCATCACACCAGTACAACTTCTTGCCAATATAATCTACTGTTAGACCATTTGGCCACTGAATGTCCTCCTTTACAAAAACCTCTCGGTGAGATCCATCCATATAAGCACGTTCAATCTTCCCTCTAAAAGAGTACGAGTCAACTAAAGGCCCAGTGTCTGTAGACCACTCTGACCAGTATAAATATCTGAAAATATATTAACAATAATAAGCTTGAAAAAAAACCTACTTTTGTTGACATTATAACAAGATAATTAGAAAGTGTTAATTTGAAAAGGGGAATAGGGGTCATCAAAAAATTACAGAAACAAGTAGAATTAAAATGCAAAGATTATATTTTCAAGCCTATAACTACATTTTTACCCCAAATATCTAGTCTCTTCACACTTCAATTCTTCCGGATGAAGGACAGATGATGCACTGAAATACTTTTTACACCACACAAAAACAAAAAATCCTCTTATACAATATAAACACACTTCTCCATCCAACTGAACTGGTCTTAATTCCGACCATGTTTTCCTTCAGTCGCAACTACTATAAATAAAGCTCTGGTCTCACTATGGATACAAAAATGGGATCATCATTTGCAAATTTGTTTGTTGGTTATGTTGGAAAACAATTTTTTTAATCAGTAAACCTGGGAAACACCCTATATATATCCCACATATATAGATTATGCTGTTCATATAGCTTCAATGTGCAAAGAAAACCTATAAAAAAGATTCATAGCATGCCACATATTTTCACCTTGCAATCCAATTCAATTATACAATTTCAAGTGTAAAACTTCCATTTCTAATTATCATACTTTATCTTAGAAAGAGCTGCATTGCTTCTACTATATATTATAAAATAACTGACTCTCATTCCTATTTTCATTTTCATTCTTCTCATCCATACAACAGTAAAAACTACATCCCTTACTTTCAATTTCTAAAACTACAGAGGTTATGCAGCAATGTTGAAGTTTTACCACCAAAACACAAGAAATGATCAATTTTTCAATAGAAGAGACAACCCCAAATTTGCAATATCCAATGCTGCCTTGAGAGCAGCCAATAAACCTAATAAATCATCTATTTGATAGAACTCGAGAGAGAACAAAGATGGCATTCCTCTAGTTCTTACATATCATCCTATTAACATAAAAGCCAGGCCCGCCGATGAGGGGGAGGCAACTGCCCAGGGGCTCGGGCAAATGAAACCTGGTTATGCCGTCAAGCCCGCAAAGCATCTTTAGGTTATATCTTCATTTAATGATAAAAACCATAGTTTTTGGCTTTTCTTTGCATATAGATGCTTTGAGTAATAATAAATATGTATTTGTTACTTTATAGATTTAACCCTATAGGCACAGGTACCTTTTATTGCGCATGACGCAAGGTTTGTGTCTTACATTGAAAATTATATTAAATTACTTTTTGTTTATGTTATGTCAATTAGAATAGCATAAAATCTTAAATAATGATCCATATTTTAATAGTATACAAGTTTTACGTTCTTAATTCTAAAAGGAAATATATAAAAAAACTGAATTTCCACTAGTGTTACACATATGACAAATTTTGTCTTAGCATGTCATCATCCCTATTTTATCCATCACCCCTTGAAAATGTATGAAATTAAACATAAAATGCTATCTATAAAATCGTTATTGCTCAAACAGACCATAATTTTTATGGCCTTCAACTTTGTTTTGTTACCCAGCTATCAAAGAGAAAATCAGACCCCTCCTGCCACACCCACATATCACATCCTCTTTTTCACAATTGGTTGATAGTTCTCTCTTACATTTCATTATATATTATTTATAACCAATAGAAAGTCAAGGTTTTCATCTATCAAGTGGCTTATTGTATAACGTTGTATTCTGAACAAAATATTGTTAACTTCACCCACAGTACAAGATTCATTCCCATGGAAAAGTTAACGACTAGCTTGGAAGAATTTGTAACGGCTTTTGTCGCATTGTTAGAAAGCCAGGAAAATTTTAAGAGGTAAGTGAATTTGTCTACTTTTTGCATGTCTATATTCTTTGGTATATTATTTAATTAAATAAAAATTGTTTACTGCTTTACTATAATCACTATATAAAATAAGGCTTAACTCTCCTCAACAATCGAGGGCAAGAAAAAAAGAACATTGGGTAAGTACTTTATTCCTTGTTTTTCATATTTATTCTTTATTTATTATTATAAAAGTAACTAAAATCTAAAAATAGGAATCTTTTAAAGTTATTTAAGACTAGATTAGGTAAAATAAGTAATAATAATATAACTAAAATGGTTCACAAGGCACGCATGCGAGCAGCTCATGGGTAATGTAATTAGATAGCGCAATGTGAGCTGCACATTCCCCAAACGATTTATAACTTTTATGGCGGGAATAGCAGTTAGACACAGTTAGAAGGGCAATAAAACATTAAAAGTTAATCATAAATAGATGTATAATGTTATAAACTTAGAGCTACTTAGGATAAACGAATGTAATTTCAGGTTACAATTTGAAGTCATTCTAGAAAGAAAAGAAGGTTAATTTAGGTTTATTTTGATTTTTTTTTTCGGTAGTTACAAGGTTGGTCGAATTGACCGATACGGTTTTGAGATAAGATAGAGAAAATAACATAAAAACTATAAGAATTTAGTGAAAAATAACGTTTGAAAATCATTTAGGAGGTTTTAGGTATTATGCAAAGGAAATTTGAGATTTTTTAGATGACGAAAAGTATTTTTAATTTTGACATGAAAATCACTTTGCACTCAGACTAGTTAAAAAAGAAGAATCAATATTTTCATGGACAAATTTTTTTTTAAGTAAAAATACTTCATTATAAAATCTGATTTTTATGTTTACTATAAGTCTACAAAATTTTGTAAAGATACACTTAAAATATTAAATGTTATTAGTATGTAAACTATAACGTTTAACTCTTTCGACACGGGCTCGGTCCCTGGGACCGACCTCGTAACCATAACCGGTCACAAGTGCAGTATTTTGGAGCTCAGTATTAAGTCCATTTCTCTTTTTGGCTTACATAAATGAAATAGATGAATCAATGGTTCTGATTAACATGACATGAAAGAACAATAAGTGTATTTTTGGTCCATCTAGGCTGTCTTATCCACTAAATTAAAAAAACACCTCAAAGCCAGCCTTAATCAACCAAATATTTATGAAGCTTACCTTTAAATTAACTGTATCTACCACATTTTATGGCAGTCCATTCTAGAAGCCAACTACCCTGTTTAAAAATATAGCTGTCTTAGCTAAAGATGCTTTCTTTCTTGCAAAGATTTATATTTGTGTCCCCCCTCTCATTCTAGGTATCATGCCCATCAAGGGTATTGGTGAGCATGGTCTCCACTGATCCCTGTCTCCCGTTGCCCTTGTCATTTCTGTATTGGTAATTTCTAGTTCCTTGGAATCTGTTGATAGTAGTGTCTGTCTATGTCTTCCTTTACTTTTCTTTCTTTAGATTTTTCCTGTCATAATGATGTTTTCAATCTTTAATTTTGTCATGATATGTTCTATAAAACTCCATTGCCTCCTTGTTAAGTTTTCCTACAACATTCATTTTGTCTTGGTCTTTGTGTCCCCTAGTCTTACAATTCTCACCATTAAATTTGACAAAAGATGATGCATCATCATCATCATCATTTGAAGTTTAATATTTTTTTTAAATGTTTCTTTTGAAATAAAGGAGTTAAAACTTCGAATCATAACATACATTGTAATGTTAATTTCATTTAATTAAATTTTGAATGTAACACAGTGACTTGTGCAGAAAAGAGTTCAAAGGGGAGTACCTGTCACGAAAGGGTTAATGATGTGTTGTTGTAACAGGCTTTTTGTTAGGATATATATTTAGCACCTTGTATGCATGGCTCTGTTTGTGGTTTAAATATGATTTGAATTCTTTATGATGTGTTCTTGTCAAAGAATTTTTTATGGTGGTTGTTTCTGGTCTCTAAGTCATTCAGGTGCTGATTTTGGATATTTTTGGGTTATTGATGTTTTTTCTTTATTGCTTATTGTCACCTGTTTCACACTTTGATCAACTTGAATCATCAAGGCCAAGTTATAATTATGCTATTTCAATCATTCATTGAACCTCAGGTTCTAAATCCTCTTTTAACATGTTTTGGTTTTGGACATTTCATAATGTCCTTTGCTGATTGGGTTCCAAAAGTTCCACTTTTTATGAATAAAATTTTGCATTTAATGTTCAGCAGTGGTGCATATTCTTAGTTTCATTTGTATTAGAATTTTCCCATTACATTCAGACGAGGTTTTAATACTTAAGTTAGTAGAACAACAGCTTAATATATTTTAATTCCAAAATTAGTCACTTGTGTTGTATAAAATTTGGAGCATATACATTTGTAATACATATAGTTGCTAAGGTGGATAAAAAGTTGAAACTTGACATTTTAAAATCTACATTTCTATATTTTTAATGCATTATCTAAAGGATTCTCTTCAATACTGTTTTGAAGTATCATCAGTGAGTTGTGTAATAACAGTATTTAATGAATTTATGATGATGATGATAAATATATGAATATGATTTGATGGAAAAGGTGGTAATTTTCTCACAAATCTAACACAAAAAAGAAATAAACTATTTTCACAATTGTTTCTTTGAAAAATTGATATGGGATTATTTTCATCTCCAGGTAGAAGAAAAGTACATATATATCATTATTTCAATTTTCTGATTCTTATATCCATAGGAAAAAGTTAGAAGGTCTTACGGAAGATGTTGCTTATGTCACATGGCAGACTGATTATTTCAAATAATTGTTACTGTAACCATTTTTTGAGAAAGAATAATATTGACATTCTAGTGATTTATAAATATTTTAGTAAAAAATACTTTTACTTATTACTGTCATAGATGTTCTGATGATGAAATTGTATCTTTTATTTCCTTGACATTTATCTTAGGTATTGTTGAAAAAAATCCTAAAAAGTTCAAGATAGATGAGACTGAAATTAACAAGAGAAAAATCTTTATAACGCAAACAAGAGAAGAAATAAAGGTTAATTAATGTATATTGAATTAAGTTTTTTAACTTTCCCAACTTAAAACATATTCTGACATTGTTTTAACTAAATAAACAATCTGTACTGCTTGTTTAATCCCTTTAAGTCTGTTGATCAATAGACTTTCTTTTATATGCAGTTCCTTTATGGGGATTTTAAATTTTCCTCTGCTTTTGAGCTCATTACATTCCTTAAGTGTGTACTGAAAATGACTTTCTAATAGCCATTATAAATCATGGCATTCAAGAATATTTGAATAATAGTCTTTCTACATAACCTAATTGCAATGTTTCTAAGCAAAAAATTTCTTTAGTCCTACCATATACAGGTAAACATGCTTTTGTATTAGGAATCAGTTGCACAGTGTATGTCATCATGCATATCCTCAAGTTGAGTTGTGATGTGTTTCACACCTTCATATAGATTACAGTATTTCTTCAGGTATATGGATAGGATACCTATATTCAAAACTTCTGATGTGGTAAATGAATATGAATGTTCTATAGGTTATACAGGAGTCACCACTAAGTTGTTAAAAGTTCAAATACAAGAACATGCAAATTCCAATACAATATTTTACTTTTATTAGTACTGCCCTCTATTGGCACAAAATTTTCACTTGCCACTAGCCTTGTAACTCCCACTTCTTTCTCCATGTCTATATCTGAATGACCATGCAGCAATCCTATCATAACTAGTGCCCTCTTTAATAATGCACCTGTTAATCATTTCTCGAATAGCAATCTCACTGTTAAGATGTGTTTGTTTTTGCTCATGAATTTTGGAATCATTAACTGTAGTGTTATTTTTTCTAGATCATTTTTTCTTGTAACTCTGTTTTCCCTAGTTTGAGTTTATACTTTGAAAGTATGTACTCACAGCTATAAGTAATTACAACTGCTAAGGTAGGATTACTGACCACATCTTTAGGGTCAGGCTCACAGTTATTTTCTCATTTTATTCCACATTCACCACCACATGAGGAGTATCCTGTCTTGCCTGCTCCTGTTGTGTCTCACAGGGAGGACAAGAATTTCGATAGCCTTTTTCCCCCCTTCTGATTATGCTTCTCAGCCACATGTTGTTTTGAGGGAACTGACTGGGCCTTCATCACTCTGTTGACTTAATGTATATGTTTGATTTTGTCTGTATCTGCTGTTTCCTATGATTCTACCCCTACCCTCCTTGGTGATGAAGCTCTGGGTCAAAATCTGGTTTTTCCATCTTCACCAGGTATTGGGGTTCCAGCTAGTTGTTTTGGAGAACAGTTGATATTGGGAGTTAGTATACCTCGTTCCTCATGTCGATTGGACAGTTATGTTTTATTAGACTCATGTTTGGACATTCTTATTCCTTTGTGGGGTTCGGACCCTAATACCTTGGTATCCTTTTCCCAACCTAAAATTTCCTGTCTTCCCAACAGTTTCGAGTCCAGAGTTGAATCACCCCATTTATTCTTTGGCATCTCGTTTGTCCCAACCTCCTGTTCCTGTTTCAATGTCCTGCCCTCCTCCTTTTGCTGCTTTGCTAGTCCCAGTTGGTCATTCTTCAACTTTCTGCAATCGTTTGGTTGCCTGTCATTGTCTTCAGGGCACTCAGTGTTGATGACTTGGTACGCAGATTGGGACCAGGCTATTTCACTTCACCCATGTTTGGAGAATTTTTACAATTGATTCATGGATTTTGAAAGTGGTTTCCTCAGGTCTGGCTCTCCGTTTTCTGTATTCCCCACCATTGTTTCCCCATTTTATTTCTTTCCCTTGCTTTGGGATCCCATTTCATGCCAGTATTTGTCAGAGGCAGTTCAGGATTTAATTCTAAAGGGTGCTATCAAACGAGGAGATCCTTCTCGTCCAGGATTTTATTCTCACCTATTTGTTGTTCTGAAAAAGACAGGAGACTGATGCCCAGTGATTGATTGGTTGTCTCTGAATCGCTTCCTCATCTTTCCCAAGTTCACACCATGTAGTTGTACTTAACTCTCTGTTGAGTTTTCACTCCAGATCTGTGGATCACGAAGGTTGATGTGTCGTATGCTTATCTGCACATTCTCATCTCTCTAGCATCTCGACATTTCTTTAAATTTGTTCACCATGGGTGTGTTTCAATTTCAGGCTATTCCGTATGTCCTAGCCTTGACCCCCTATGTTTTGCTGAGATGTTTGGTTATTTGCTTGACTGCTTCATTCCCGGGGCCTTCATTTCCATCATTACATGGATGACTGGCTACTGCTGGCATCCTCGTAAGCATACTTTGGTATATATTTGGTTTCTTCTTCGGGAAGCTGCCTGGGTTGGTTGGCTCATCAAGGTAGAGAAGTCATTTCTCACATCTACCCAGTTTCTGATTCATCTGGATATGTTTTTCAATTCACTTTTGAGTCTGGCCCAGCCTTCTCCACTTTGCTTGCAAGATATAGAATGGATATTTTACAAGGTCTCCTCTTCTCTTTCTGCACGAGAGGTTCTATCTCTTTTGAGAATGTGGGGTTCTCTCAAGGAGTTCATTCCCCTTGATAATGCCCTCATCTACAATGAGCCTTAATCAACCATTGAAGCTTTGTTCAAGATCCCTTGGAGGCTCCACTAACCCTTCCCTCTCCATTACTTATGGACTTTGCCTGGATTGGACCAATACTACCATGGGGGTTCCTCTTCCTCTGCTCTGTCCAGATTGTCACTTTTTTACAGAGCATCAGGAAGGTGGACTCTTCCAGAATCCATTCTCTATTTCAATATCTTGGAGCTTCTTGCTATTCAGTGGCCTGTTCTACACTTCATGCTGTCTCTTTGAATGATGTTGCACAGACAATTCAACAGTAGTGTCCAACATCTTCAGGCAAGGAGGTCCCGGGTCAAGGGACTTTTGTTTTTTGAAATTGGATCTCCTATATTGGGCTTATGGCCACCCAGGAATTTGAATGTTATATTCCGGGTGCTAAGAATCTGGTAGCAGATCAGTTATCCCAACCAACATGATTCTACAGACAGAGTGGTCTTTGGATCCTGTTGTTTTTCGGTAGTTGTGTGCTTGTTGGGGTATCATCGATTTGGACACCTTTACATCTCCTCTCAACTCCAAACTTTCCCGTTTTTGGTCACCTGTTCCTCATACACAAGCAGATGTGTTGGATGCTGTCAGTCAGAGTTGGATGAACAGTTACTTATATGTTTGTCCTCCTAATCGGCTTCTCCATCATGTCCTTCAGATAGTTTAGACCACTCCTTGTCTGGTTCTGTTGGTGGCACCATATTAGCTGGCTCAGACATGATTTCTGCTTCTACAACAGCTGTTGGTGTTACCACCTGTTCCTCTACCTTTGTCTCACACACTCCTTTGTCAACCCCACTCTAGCATGTCATCTTTGCCTACCTCCACTCCATCTTCACACGCGACTTTTTTCTGGTCCCTCACCAGAAAGTCCGGCTTTTCTAGGTGTGTTCCCTCTTTGATTTCCCATCCTGTTCTCCCATCCTCTTTGGCAGTTTATCAGCATAAGTGGACTGCATACCACTCTTGGCCTCTACACCAGGGTTACCATTCTTTTTGTCCAATCATTCCTCACTTGGTCATTGTCTTTCTGATGATTTTTGTGATTGATGCTTGTTTGTTCCAGCCATCCTGTGTGTTCCTTTCTACCCAAGACTTCAGCTGCCTGGGAGGGTAATTCTGCTCTTTTCCCATTTCTCTCCCTTTCATGTCCCATCTTTATACTCATTTGGATCCAGATAACCTTCTATGTCCAGTCAGAGCCCTCTGATGGTATCTGACATGCTTTGATCCCTTTTGTGGTTCCCGTGTACATTTATTTATTCCCATGGAACCCTGCTGGTTCACGTGATCTTTCCCCCAGCTCTTACTGGTTGGATTTGTCAGGTCATTCTCCTAGCGTATTCTTTTCTCAGGATGATTGTTGCCTTTTTTGGGTCTTTTCTCATCAAATTCGTCACCTGACCATGTCCCTGGCTGCCCATTTCCATCTTTCTTTGGAGGATATCATCAGCGCAGGTCTGTGGACTACCCTGCACACCTTTATGGCTCACTACGTCCATCATGTGGCTGTTTTTGCTTTGTGGGTTTCCGCTTACTTCCAGTTGCCATTTTACACACTTCTGTTTCTTTCTGACTAATAAGTACTTATTTTTTCTTTTCCTTTACAGGAGCCTCTTGCTCATAAGTTATGGATCCTGCTCTGTGGTGAGTGATGCCTGACCAGATATACTTAGTCTCAAATCTGCTGTGTATGTCCTATGAGCATGCTAGATGACCATAATGTCAAGGTGCTTCCTACCATGTACCTGATGTACAATTCCAGATGCCGTCAGGTGTTGTTGTTTTACTCCATTCTCTTGTCATCTGGTGTAGATATCAATAATTCTGACAAACCACAAGTTTGTTTCACTCATACAGTTGAGATGGGGTGTTCTGAAGGACAAGTAGTATGTATATTTTGTGGGCTTTTGCATCCTCAGTATGTTCGTCCCAGACCATACACTCATAGACTTCATGGGTAAAGCAGACAGGGATTACTGCTCATCCCTGATGCTCTGTGACATTAAGTCTCTTCCTACTGTGGACCTGATGTACAATTCCAGATGCTGCCAGGTGTTGGTTGATCGTGTCCATCCACATAGTAGCTTTGCTTTTCAAAATAGGGTATTGAGGTCACCCATTGCATTGTCTCCAGTGCTGCAGGCCTCCAGACTCTACAGTGCATTTGTTCCCTCCTTCTAGTGGAGTATGGGAGCCCTTGCCACTTACTAGTTCTTAGCCACTGGGGTGGCGGATCTCTCAGTTGAGAGTAGGGTGGTGGAATTCTGCTTGTGTCAATGGCATGACTCCCTTCCTACTGTGGACCTGATTTACAATTCCAGTTCCTGCCAGGTGTTGGTTGTAGCATGCCACCATATATCTAGTTATTGCAGTTTGCCTCTTTTGCTGAGATATTCCTTCTTCCAACCATCCTCTGGATATCGATCACTGGCTGGGTCATGTGTTGGTTTGAGATGATCCAGCCACATAAGTCTTCACGTGTTTGGTTGGTATCCTCCTCCTACTGTGGACTGGATGATAAATTGACAATGCCACCAGGTTTTGTACTGGAGATACACCCCACATTGGAGTCTCTCTTCATCTTCCTACCATCTGCTGGATGTTTTTTCCCAGTTTATCTGGAGTTTGTTGAAGCTGGATGAAACACAACTTCCTGCACATGTAAGGCTGGGTTCCCTGTTCCTACCATGGGCTGGATGTGATAGGAGTTACAAGACTAGTGGCAAGCAAAAAATTTGTGTTGAAAGAAGGGAGGGCAGTACTAATCAAGAAAGGTTTTTATGAGAGGGGGTGAGTATTTATTTGGAACTACATTTTCAGTTTAGGAAAATGTTAACTTTACAATATACATCATTTTAAAGCATCAAGAAGCATCCCATGAATACATGTAATGAACTCGTAAGTAGAAGACAACTTATAATTCACACGCAGGCCAATAGGGAACAGGAACTATGTATAAAGGAGAGTCTATTCATCAGTAGACTTAAACTGGATTGAATGACCAAAACAGTACAGTTTATTTATTATTAAATTTGTAATTGTTAGTATGTAGTGCTTTGTTAAGCAATTGCTGTGACATGGATGTAAAACACCATTAGTCTGATGCCTGGGACTACCAGATTTTGATATTGAGCTACTCTGAAATCTGTGCAAAATCCAACCATATGTTTAATTATAACAAAGTACAAAAATGCAACCTGTTGATGTTTTCTCATTAAATATCTACTGTTACTGAAATATTTGTAAGATCGTTAGCATGTTTATTAATGATAGGCTAATCCATTGTAAGCCTTATATGCAAACACTGTGTGATTCATTTACTGAAGTGTAAATTAAAATGTCCAGTTATTTAGTTAAATAATGATAACTTGTGCTAAGCTACATGATTATTTTTCACTTGAAGTACAATAGTTGTTGTTTAATGCAAAGTTTTATTGATACGAGAAGAAATGGCCATATTTGAGTAAACAACTACTTGGAACTCCCTGATCTCTTTCTGTGGTAGGACAGCGTGGCTGTTTTGGTTTTATTGTGTATGTAAACTGGATAACCTATTAATAGATCTTGTTTTTATATATTCTGAATTAAATTATAGTATTTTCAGTAGGTCAGTAATACCAGTTTGTCGCAAATGTAGACCAGGTAATATGCCCCGAGATTTATGTCTACGTCAATTGTATTATTTTTAGTCCTGTAATGCTGAGTTTGGGCTGGTACATTTCTAATGTCTACTAACCAGGGGCTATTACATTAAAGAAAATTAATAATTTACATTCCTGTATTTGTGTTATTTTAAATCACAATTTTTGAAGTTAGAGATAAAAAAAAATGGGTTTTTTAAGTTAAACATGTGCTATGGGTGTTATTTTAATATGGTTTTATAGAAAATTAGGTTCAAATTGTTTGATTAAAAACCAGACAAATGAAGAGGAGACTTTGTTTCACATCTAGGGTTATTGATTATTACATTACAGGAATAGATCAAAGATGAGTGTTATCCTAATCTTTTGCCAAATTAATTTTTTTCTAAATTAAGACAGGCACATATGAATAGTTTGAACAGAATTTTGTGTAAACTTATTTGTTTATGATTTTTCTCTTGATAGATAAATGTTTATTCGATTTTGGAAAACTGTTTTAATGTAACTTAAATCTGAGAGATGTTAAAGGCTAATTTTTTATGTTTCAATGAAAGAAAAAGTAGTTACAGTTCTAGTGCTGATATAAATGGATATGCTGTACATGTTACAATAGTACAATTTTATTTGTGTAACATTGACCTGAATTAAAGCAAGATATTATAATATTTTGGTCTTCTAGCTACACATTTTTTAATTAAGTATAATATCTCTATGATGATTTATAGGCATTGTTACTTGAATAGTCATGTGTTCTTTTTTGTTGTTGTTAAATTCCAGATGATGAGCAACAAAGTTATGGACAACAAATCTAAAGAAAAGAAACTGCGACAGGTATTTTTTGTTGGGTTCAGTTATTCTGTTTGTAAGAACCAAATTTAATTATTTCTTAGATTCCCATATTAATGTTAATTTCACTTTTAATTTCATATTTTAAGGTTTCAAGAAGGACCACTGTATATTGTGATATATTTTTATTTTATAAACTGACAATTTAAAATGTTTACCAAGTTTTACAGCAAATAATTAAATAAAATGGTATCTTATAACATCTATGAGTAAAATTATTTTTACTAGCTTTTAATTGAATTTTGAAGACTGTAAGTTGGCTTGAACCATAGAGAAATGTCTTATAAAGCTAAAGACCAGTGGTGGGTTTTCAAGTATGTCATGCAGTAACAGCTTATTAATGTAAAATACCTCCAGAAAAAAACAATAAAATACAGAGAAAGTTTACTCACCCTATTTGTAGATGAAACCCAGCCAACAGTCTTTCTTTACAAATTTTTTTATAATATTGAATATGAAAAAAAAAATCACCAAATCAAGTGAAGCAAAGCATGTTACCTGTATGTTTTGATGTTGAACTTCTGTGCATGCACTAGCTGTTATGCTATTTTAATGCAGCATGACTTGTGTGATGTCACTCCAGAAAACATGCAGAATTTGAATAGCATGACATGAGACTAAACACACAGAGCTCTCACAGCATGAAATGAGAATGCTGCTCCAGTGTAAATAAACACAATAAACAAATGGTAATGTATTAATAATGAATATAAAAGACATTTTATTCTGTAGTGGTATCGACACATTTTTAGTTTTGTGATTGATCATGCAGTACGTGGAAACGTTACATAGATGACATATTTTTCATTTGGACAGCCGGTCTTAAATCACTTAAACAATTTATCTCACATGCAAACTCCTTTCACAAAACAATCAAGTTTACCTGTGATTACTCGCCTATCCAGATTAACTTTCTTGACATCACTGTTTTTCTAAAAGACGGAATTTTACACACTGACTTTTACAAAAAACCTACAGACAGACCACAATACCTTCACCCCTTTCACACTAAATGAAACATTACCTACAGTCAAGCTCTAAGAATAAAGAAAATATGCTCAGAGATAAGCTCACATACTTGTTAACCTTTGGTATGTATTGTTGGATTCAGTAACATTCTTTTGCAAACAGAAATACTTAGTATCCATGATATTTTAATGGCTGGCATAATTACAACTGATGTTCAATTGGAAATCCACTAAAAATTGTGTAGTCTTTTTCATACTGAATTTATACTTGAAACTCAAAATAATTTGAAAACTAACCTAACTTAAACTAATAATAGTTTTTGAAAGTTATAATACTGAGTAATACAGAGAAAACATTTTTTAAATTATTTTTTCCTTCAGATGAATCTTATTAATGACTGGTGATAGATTTGAAACCTGTATCCTTTAAGCTAATCATATTAGATCTTTCATAACATGATAATCAAACTCATGGTTAAAATCAGGTACTTGTGAAATATTACTTTTTTCCATCATTTATTAAACCTACATGTTGCCTTGGAAGCTAGTTCTTCTTGTGATGCTCAAAATATTGTTAAAAGCATATACATTTGCATTTAATAAAAATGCACACTGTATAAAAATATTGAAGTAAAAAATAATGATATAGGTATTTTCAGTGTATTGAGTGTATTGCCTCGAATAAAAACTTGTGTATTATTTCACTTTTCACATTCTAATTATGTGCAAACTATTCTAAACCTTTTCTACTGATGATAGGTGTTTTTATTAGCAAATGTTTGTTTTATCTTCACCACCATTGTAGTCGTTGGTACATTTGTTTTTTTTTAGTCATGATAAATATATATCTATTCCCCTAACCAGGGTCTTCTTAGCTCAGGGAATAGTAATGTCAAGTATACACGACTAGAAAATCCAGCCGAAAACCTCAATCAACGATTTATTGATGAAAACCACCTACAACAACAGGTTGTATCTATTAATTTTTCATGTGTGTTATCTTTTGTGTATTTTGTAATTTTCATATTCAGACTTTGATATGGGACACAATGCATATTATAGTAATTGACTGAATACTCAAAAACAAAAGGCAGATAATTGGGATCATTTAAAAATATCAAAAGTAAGAATGATGAATGAGGGGAGATTTTTTTTTATAGCAATTAGGATAGAAGTACTTCTAATATCTAAGTAATGTTTTCTGGGTTGTCCATTAGATTAAGAGACAATACCATTATTTTAGTAAGAAAGCATATTAAAATATTGAAAATTTTTCAAAAAGAATAAAGAATATTGCTCTTATACATACCAAATTATAACAACCATACTTTAAACGTAATATTAGAGCTAAAGAGTACCACGGTACTTATAATAACTAAAGAGTACCACGGTACTTATAATAACTAAAGAGTACCACGGTACTTATAATAACTAAAGAGTACAATGGTACTTATAATAACTAAAGAGTACCACGGGACTTATAATAACTAAAGAGTACCATGGGACTTATAATAACTAAAGAGTACCGCGATACTTATAATAACTAAAGAGTACCATGGTACTTATAATAACTAAAGAGTACCGCAATACTTATAATAACTAAAGAGTACCGCAATACTTATAATAACTAAAGAGTACCGCAATACTTATAATAACTAAAGAGTACCACGGGACTTATAATAACTAAAGAGTACCGCGATACTTATAATAACTAAAGAGTACCATGGTACTTATAATAACTAAAGAGTACCGCAATACTTATGATAACTAAAGGGTACCATGGTACTTATAATAACTAAAGAGTACCGCGATACTTATAATAACTAAAGAGTACCATGGTACTTATAATAACTAAAGAGTACCGCAATACTTATAATAACTAAAGGGTACCATGGTACTTATAATAACTAAAGGGTACCATGGTACTTATAATAACTAAAGAGTACCACGGTACTTATAATAACTAAAGAGTACCGCGATACTTATAATAACTAAAGAGTACCACGGTACTTATAATTCAGTAACATTTTATAAGAGATGAAATGTGTTGAATAGTAATGCTTGTTTTAAATGTTAAAAGTGGTTTATGAAATTTTAACTACCTTTAGGTTTTTAGACTGTAATTACAGTTGCAATTAATTATAACAGTTGAACAAAACATGTATGATGTTTTGAATTGTCTTTTATTTACCATAGTGCATTTGTAATTATAGAAGAATATGAAGCAATGATGCTGTTTGTTTATTCTTCTGAATAATTCAAGCTGTTTAAAATACCAAAAGTAAATGTGAAGCCCTATGTAGCTTTTGATTCACCACTTTTTGTTCAGTCGTACTGATTTTTGGGAATGCCACCCATAATCAGTAACCCTGGATGAAGGCAAATTGAAAGAAGAAATCCAGGCTTCTTACAGTGTATATATATATATGGTGTTTTGGATTGTCTTTTACTCACTGCAGTGAACCTATACTTGTATAGGATTTGGAGAATATGTAGAATGTGTGAATTGTATGTATTTTTAGTATTTTAAACAGCTTTTCTGCTGAATAGTACAAGAGAATAATTTAGTGACTTGGGCAGGATTAATGTTAATGAAGATTGTGATCACTTCCAAAATAAATGTAATTTACCACATAAGAAAAACAAAACGTTTTTTGGTAGGAGTGGTGAATAATGAAGATTTGTTTTCCCTTTGGTATTGAAAATTAAAAATCAAATTTAAAATGAAAGTTTATGTGAAAGATCTTATTTTCCTTATGATAACTAAATCATTGTATAATTTAATTTTGCTATAAAGTATGAATATAATATTATCATGACTGCTGGGTTAGTCTTATTGACTCATTAGGATGAGAAAGGATTAAAGTTTAGAAAATAACTTAATCCTACATAATACATTCTTAATGTTTTTTGTTTCTTAACAACCAGATGGTTATCCAGAATCAGGATGAAGAACTAGATCGCATCCAAGAAAGTACTGGCACACTAAAAACTATGAGTCGACATATTGGATCAGAGCTGGATGAACAAGCTGTGTATGTTCCTCAAAACAGGAAATTTTTATTCTCTGTACAATCAACAAATGTTCTACACAGATACATCACACTTGTAAAATTTCAACTGTTTTAGCAAATTATTTTCACCTTTATATAGTCAACAATTACCCAGAAAGAAGTAAATTTAAAGCATAAAGAAACATAAACAGAGAATAATGTTAAATTTAATACTTTGAAATTTGTGCTTGCTCTTACTAATAGATTAGATAATTAAGGCATGCTCTGGCAATTTGCTCTTTGTTTGTCTGGGTGTTTTTCTGTTGTATGAAGCACTTGTATAGTGATCCATGGAAAGGTGGATCAGAGATTGAAATCTGCATGATGTTTTACCTAGTATTTCATGATAATATCTAGCATAACTTTTGAATACCTTTTTTTATGTAGAAAATGCAAATGGGCCTTGAACTCTTTACACTCAATCATTTTCTCTTTCACTTCCACATATTTAAAAAAAAAAGTTACTCACGTAATATAATATTAATACAAAATCGATTTACTTAACAAATCTTCACTTTCCTTTTTTTCCCATCTCATTTGTTTTACACATTATTTTAAGTCTGAAATATAAACAAACATATTTATGAAATATTTTGTAAAAAAATTAAACCAAGCAGTTTAAATTTTATTGTTCTGTAAAATTTTGTGTATATACATTTAAACATAAAATATATCAAAAAGAAATAATTAAAATATACTCTCATTTATCTTTCTTTCCTGGGGCCAAATGATGCCTAGTGGTTAGTGTGTTGGACTGTCAATCTGAGTTTCCATGGTTTGCATCCCATTTCTATTGAAAAAAAAAAAAAGGTTCCTTGCATTTTGGGTCGAAGGGTATGTTTTAAAGAGGCAAATCCCATTTGTTGGTGTGACAAGAATAGGCCAAGAGTTGGTGATGAGTGGTGTTGACTAGCTGCCTTCCCTTTAGTCTATCACTTCAGAATTAGGGATGGCCTATTGAAATAGTCCCAGTATAGCTTTGCACATAATTTAACAAAACAAACAAACTTTCTTTTCTGTCTTCTTTCTCATAAATTTCTTACATACACTTCTAGGAAGTAAGCAACATGCATTATGTTTGTTAATTGTTTAACCCTTTAAAGTGTGGTGTTCACCATTATTTCACCTTTGGCCTTTTATTAATGACTAACAAACATCTCCAAATCTGAAACACAGGTTTATCAAACACTTGCGATGATATTTGTAATGCCTTTTGAAATATGAGTTTGATATTTTTTATCAGCTTAGGATTTATAATACAATCAAAACCACTACATAGCATAGCTATTTACTGTACTGCTATTCATGCAACTGTTGATACATATACTATAGTAGACCTAATAATAGTGCAATAAAAATAGTACAAATACATAGTATTTATCCCACTTCACATATAAAACATAATCTCCTATTGCTAATTTAGGTAACATATTCAAAAAGATGTAGTCTCTTACCTTTGACTGAAGGCAAAATATGATCCTAGCATTGATCAATGGTCTGAGTTTTTTTAAACAGAAAATTAACTGCCATGAAAATTACTTCAGTAAAATATACATAAAGGGAATCTCATTAAGTTAATTTACTACTTTTCCATGGATTACAAATAATATAATACTATAACTAAATGATAAGAAGTCCTGCTCTGCCTCAAGACTTGCCTAGGCAAATTGAAATCTTTTCAAACTTTTTACATTCATGTGCAACTGTTTAAAGAAGAAAGGAATATTTATAGTAAATATATTGCAAGAATAAAAAACAATTCCATGTTCCAAATGACATATTTGTGATTTTGCCAGCATCAGAAATATAAAAATGTTACAAACATAAATGTGGTTAGTTTGATTTTACAGTTCTTGACATCAACAACTTCTAAAGTTCACTGTTTTTAAACTATTTAAGCTAGAAAAAAGCTTGCAATGATTGTAGAAGCTACAGATTTGTTGGTTAGATTTGTCCATGGACCAGTTGTATTTGCACGGGTGGGAAAATTAACATCTACCACTATCTCGATAATAATTCCAACAGAAGGCCAAAAATTGAAAATTAAGCTGACAATTTCGATTTTCTTTTAATTACTTCATCCAAAACAAATTTTAATAAAACTTGCATGTTAAAAACTTCAAATCTCAACATTTCAGTTATAATTTTACTTTTTCAGGAAAATTGTGGTCACAAATAATTTTCCAAAGTTTGATGTCACCATTTTTACTGGATAATACCTGGAATGCCGGAACTGGAAAGTGTTAACTTAGCTTAACTTGCCAAGTTTGAAAATCATAAAATAATATTTATTATAAATTCAAAAACATATATCTGTTACAGTCATATTGAATTGTTGATGCTATTTTTACATATTTGTCTTATTTTTTGGTGAGAAAATTTTTTTAACAATTAACCCCTTGTCACAGGTGTAACATTAATCAAATTATTTTAGAATTTATGATTTTGCATAAACATATGGCAAGAAGTTATTGATGTTAGCTTTATGTGTGCTGATAACATTTATGTAGCCGCTTACTATTTATACATATAATATGGCTTGAAGGAGATTGACAACTGGTGCAAAAATTACTTACTTTTTAACAAATTAGCATTATAAGAAATAATGCAAAATACAGCTAATTTGTTAAAAACATGATTTAGAATCACATCATTATAAGAAATAATGCAAAATACAGCTAATTTGTTAAACATGATTTAGAATTGCATCATTATAAGAAATAATGCAAAATACAGCTAATTTGTTAAAACATGATTTAGAATCACATCATTATAAGAAATAATGCAAAATACAGCTAATTTGTT